AAATAGTTTGCCAATTTTTGTAGATAAAATACGAAAATTTCCATTCCAGTGACTTTTTGGAGAATTCACAAATACAGGAAAGACGCACTTCTGACTATTTCGTTAACGCTGACTTCGTTGAAGAATATAGTCAAATGTCTGTATCTCATATAGATGCGTTTAAGTCAAAAACCAATAATAAATGTTAATCTTCTGCCACTTCTGAGAGATTATAGGTCTTTGGGAAATATTGGTTCCAGATCTAGGAAGACCATTTACGTGCAACATCTACCTATAAATTGGAAATGAGCAAATTAGTTCAAGTTTCTATTATTCGAAAATTAGAACGAAACCTGATGGTTTTCTTTTATTATTTGTCACAATATCTTGTGGAATTTTTTCGAGTATATGGCCTATATAAACTGTATCATTTATTATAGTGTTGTAGGGTATTCAACGGTCGGCCCCGCTCGACTGTAGCCTTTGCTTACTTGTTTACATATGTATTGTACCTATTTTGCTATATATCCGATTTCTTGCCTTTTAGCATCACTGTAATGGTCAGAAGTGATCTTTTAAAGTATTTGTGATTTGGCTGGGATTAAAAATATTCGCGGTTTAGTGAAAATTTTCCTATTTTCTAACGTAAAAGTTAGGGTCTATTTTACCCGGTAATTATTGTCCGATGGCCGCTCAAATTGGTAGGTTTCTGCCCAGTCCCAAATTCTAACTCCACGTCGATTGGTTTATAATTTTGGCCTATAGAGCAACTGAAAAATCAGGAAAATTTTCTCTTTTTGGTCCATTTTAACCCCTAAATATCGTGCGATCACTTCCAAAAACAATAGGGTTCTATTCTGACCCTAAGCCCACCTCCATTTTCAATTTCGTGAGGATCGGTTCATAATTGTGACCTGTAGCTTGGTTAAAAATTAACATAGACAGACGGACGGACATACATACATAGCTAGATCGACTCAGCTTGGCGAGCTAGGAAGACCCATATATACTTTCCTATGTGGGAAACCAATATTTCGAGGTGTTACATAATTTTTGGCCCAATCAAACTTATAATACCCCCAACACGTAGTGTTGTAGGGTATAAACATAATCCATATCTCCATGTCTAAAATAATCAGGGGTGTTCCCAACATTCTCTAATGGGCTACTTGACACAACGGAACCACAAACTTAATGGTCACAAGTGATGTATTCAAATCTAAAGGCAAGACATAATAGAGCTGTCTTTGTAGGCTGTACTTGGCAATTTATTTTTAACAAACCAGACATCCCACCCTACCGGAATTTAACCATATAAATCTGACCTTGCACATTCAAATAGTTCACATCAACAGCTAAAAGCAAAGAAAAGGAAGGAAGGAAGAAGCAACCATCGATAAATGAATACATCGAATATCAGAACCTCATGAACAAAACTGTCAAAGCGTAAAATAATCTTTTGATGTCGCCTCTGTCGCTGTGTGCCATTTCTTAGTTCCTTTGTCACCGTCATTGTCCTTTCGCTCACAGTCGTGAAAAGGCAACGAAGAAAGAAATGAAAAGGAAAAATTTTACTTGTAAAACTATCACCATAAAAATAAACTAGCTATAGATAGAATGCCGAAGTCATGTATTACGCCATTGGGGAAATAAAGTTTAGGGCAACAACAAAAAAGCAAAGGAAAGCGAAAGAACGGTTAGTTAACCAAACTTGGGTGGAGTTGAATGTCTGCGAAAGACATGCTTGACAAGTATTGGAAATTGAAAGACGTTAAAGCGGTTGTCATAAAATTTTCCTGCTCGATATTCACTATCAAGGCGGAGGGGGTCCAGATATGGAGACAAATATGGAAAAAATGAGGGGAAATGGAAAATATTGTGGACAAAAATAGAGATGGCAGAACTTATTAAAAATAAGTAGTTGGAGGTGTTCTAGTCAAAGAAGATTTCACGATGAATACAAAGTTTATCAAAAGGATAGCATCAAGTTGCTATATTAAACGATAAGATATCCTCAATCCATAAAAGAGCGGCAGTAGAAAGTTTATCGAGAGAAGAGAGTCAGTAGGGTATTCTATCCATAAAAAGCCGTCAGGAAGTCTCCTATCCATAAATGAGTATCAGTAAGTCTGGAAAAATGTTGAGAAATATTAAAAATTACAGATTAAAATTGGGTTGGCTGAACTTTTTAAAGACTTTGTTCGGATGTTTTCTATTCAAAGAAGTTTTCGGGATGCATAGGAGAGCATCTGGAGATTGCTATCTGAACTGACAAGATACCCTCAATCTATAAAAGAGCGTCAGCAGGGCGTTTATAGAAAGAAAAAATGCAGAAAGGTATTTATCCGAAAGTCTCCTATCCATAAAAGAGCGTCAGGACATCTTCTAACTATAGCAAAGCCTTAGAATGTCTTCTATAAATAGAAGAGCCAAGAGAAAGTGTTTTATTTATATAAGACCAGCGATATTCTTCCAACCACAAAAGATGAGTAGAAAGTATCCTATCTATAGAAGAGCCCGTAGGTCTTCTATCGATGAAAGAACCGGAAGGTTTTCTACCCAGAGATGAACAGGAATGTTTTCTATCATTATGCAGTGAAAAAACTTCCGACGTTGTCTGAAGTCTTCTGTTGACGGAGGAGCATTTAATCATAGAAGATCGGTAGGAGCACTTCTATGTATAGAGAAGCCGGTAGGTCTTTGTTCATAGAAGAAACGTAAAGTCTTCTACCCTTATCCAATGAAATAACTTCTTGCATTCGACTGACGTTCTTCTGTTGACAGTAGATCTTCTGATTGTCTTCTGTAAATAGAAGCACTACAGGGGTCTTCTGAAGATAGGAGACTTTTCGAAGGTCTTCCGCAAGTAGAGAAGGAGCTCTTAATGGATTTCCGGTTTCTTATAGAGATAGAAGTAGATAGAAGCACTACAGAGGTCTTCTGAGTATAGGAGACTTTTCGAAGGCCTTCCGCATGTAGAGAAGGACCTCTTAATGGGTTTCCGGTTTCTTATAGACGGAAGACCATCTGACGGTCTTCTCATGATAGAAAAACTTCTATTGGTCTTTTGAAGGCAAATGGAGTTCGGAGGTCCTTCGTAGAAAAAATGCCTTCTGTTGGTCTTCTGCGGAGAGAAGACATCCTGTGGTTTTTTCAATACCATTTTAAGCCTTCCATAGGCAGATGTTTTCAGATGGTCGGTTTTCTGAAGATAGAACACCATTAGACGACCTTCTGAAGACAGAGGACAATCAGACAATCCGGTTTTCCGGATCGATTGAGGATTATCAGACTGTCTTCCAAGACAGAAGCCTTCTTGAGGGTCTCCTATAGACAAGAGCTCTTCTGACGGTCTTTTGAAGCCAGAAAACACTATGGCGGTCTTCCGTAGGCCAAAGACCTTCTGATTGCTTGACCTTCTGTACACGGTACACAGAAAAGGACACCTTGACAGCCATCTGAAGGCAATAGGCTTTCCGATGGGCTATTACAAATGGAAGACCATCTAAGGCCTTCTGAAGATATAAATTATTCTGATTATCTTCTACAGAGGGTGACGGTGTTTTTTTTTTTTTTTTTTTTTTTGAAGGACGGTATTATGTCGACAAGAGACCTTCCGACGGTTTTCTGTAGACGGCAGACCTCCTAACAGCCTTCTGTAGACTTAAAACCTTCTGATGGTCTTCTCTGCAAGGTCAAGAAGGTCTTCTGTAGACCGAAGACCCCACAAGGGGTCTGCTATAGATAGCGAATTCCGGATGATGGCCGCTATGGATAGAAGACATTCAAGATTTCCTCAAAAAAGAGAGAATAGATCTCCTGTAGATATAATAATCTCAAGAGGCCCTCAATGGATCTTTCATGGACGAAAGAGCTTTAATAGATGCTCCATAATTAGCAGACCTTCAAAAGATTTTCTAAAAGAGGTAGACACTCAGGAAGTCCTCTATCATTGGAAGACCCTCGAGAGGTCCTTTTTTAACATCAACAAGTCTCTGTATAATCGGTTTTGTCCTCACAAGCACTTAATAATATTCTAGAAAAACTCATCTTTATAGTTGGGAAGGTCCTTGAAACACCTTTCCAGGAGCAGTAAAAACTCTTCGATTTTTTTTTATTTTTTCCCGGAGGTAGGTATTTGTACCTTGATTCCGGTATGTTTTTCAGAAAAATTTCGGGTTAGATCCGGATTAATTTGATGTACTGAACAGAATCCAGTCGTCCAAGTTCAAAGACTCATATCTTCGGATCCAAGAAAGATAATAATCTTATTCGACTTTTAGAGATTTTTTCAAAATCCAGATCCAAAAATCAACAATTTTTATAAACCGGGTTTAGCTTTCAAAAGATATCATATAATGTAGTAGATCCAGGTCTATCCCGGATCTTGAACCTGGATCAGAGAAGGTCATATCGGTCCGTCTGGTGAAAAATAATAACAAAATAGAAGTGTTTGTACTTAACTAGAGTTAAGCCAATAAATGATCTTTAAATCGACATTTTTTGGCCCTCTGACCCTTGAAAAATAAAATCCACTTTTATTAATACGTTACCCCTTAAAAAAAAACTCTAAAACAATCATCTTTTATCGGAACGATAGCCTATGAAGATATAGTCTTTAAAATCCACTTTCATTTAAAAATACGGGACTTGAAAAAAAATTCACATTTATTGGTCCGAAGGTCTTGAAAAATATATTTTTTTATAAAATCCTCTAAAAGTCCTCCAAATTCTTCTGATTGTCCGTGGAAAAATAGCCAATAAAAAATCTACGTATGTGACTCTGAAAGCCTTAAGAAAAAAATCTACCCCTTATAATTCTTATTCCAGGCTTATGAAAAAATATTTTTGAAAAACCTGACTGCGTTCTATATATCTCTCGTACCTCTAATGTTCTATATTTCAAAGACATTCCAGGGTTGGAATTTTTCTGTTCTGTTAATAATAATATTCTGCTAGACAAATATCTGTAGTTCACCTATTTTTTTTTTTTTTAAATTTTACAAAAATCTCGTACTCACCTCGTCAACATATTCGCCCGATTGACGGCAACTTCCGCCTCGATTCTAAAACGATCCTGGGCATAACGATCCACCACACCTTCACCCAAATTCAGCGAAGTGCCCGCTTCACATTTCGAACCCAGCGAATGTTGGGTCTCGACAATTTGCAAAAACTTCGTCACCACATCGCGGCCCCTCATTAAATTACGGCGATTATTCCGGGAAATTTCATCCCAATCATAGATTTCATCCTCATTGGCGGCATCCACTACACCCTCCAGAAAGGGATTAGATTCATCCGACTCCGAATCTGCTGCAATGTCCAAACTCAATGACTCTGAATCGGAATCATTTTCGGCCTCAGTATCGGTTAAGGGAAAGCCATTCGTTTGGCTACTTTCACTGGCATAGCCATCATCATCAGCCATGGTCAGATCCTTGGTGAGACCGCCGCTATCATCTGAATCATTGAAATTGATCTCCTCTTTGGCATACAATGAGGTGTGGGGTTGATGTTCCAAGTTAATGCCACCCATACTTGTGCTGGCCGATATCAAAGGCTCCACACTGTGTTCTTCTTCCAGAGGTGGATTTTTGGGTGATGTTGTATCAAAGGATTCCGAGAGATTGGCCAGCAGGGTGTTACTAAGTAAATCCAAATCTTGGGGAGGCAAATTAATGCTATGATTGGTATTTACATGGAAATCCACCAAGGAGCTTTGATCGATTTTTGTTATGGGTATATTGAGCTCTGATTTCAAAACCTCTGCTGAGGGTGGTGTTGGCGGCAGGGGATCTTCGGGTAAGTTAAGGACCTTGGTTTTCCTTAGATAATTATCCAAGGATAATTCATTTTTCTTATCCTTAATATAAGTTTCGGTGAAGTTGCTGTACAGGCGCTTGGAGCTTTCATCTATGGATGTTGGTGGAGGTCCCCCAGATGGACTGGAGGTGCTACTGTCATAATCATCCTCACTGTCGTTATTAACTTCTTCTTCATCATCCCCATCCCCATCATCGTCATTTTGATAATTTGACAAATCGGAGAATACATCATCACTGTTGCTATAGTCATTATCAAAGACATCATCATCATCATCATCTGTCCCTGTATCTTCATCATCATCACCATCCACATTTGTCATTGCCAGGTTGTCCTCCACGTTGTTGTCGTTGTTGTCATCAACACTGCCATCTGTATCCTGGCTATCATTTGTATCATCGCTTTCAACAACATTTTCATCAATGTCAGCTTTATTGTCTTCAACAAGCCCATTAGAAATGTTGACATTATCATCAGTGCCGCCAGCACCAACCGGCTCCCGTTCATCTGCACCAGTACCAGTACCAGTACCAGCTCCAGCCGCAGCAGCAACAATATTGGCAGCATTGTTAACAACGGGCACATTAGCAGCAGCATTGGCAACAACATCATCACCATCTGAGTTATTATCAGCAGCATCTTCATCATCATCGTCGTCATCATCATCATCCTCGTCCTCTTCCTCCTCCTCACTTTCATCACTGGCATCAAAACCATTTATATCATCCATTATAACCTCAGCATCCTCGTCATCATCATCAGCACCCTTGTCGTTGTTTTCATCATCATCATTGTCATCAAGGACCTCACCGCCTCCGTCATCATGCTCTCCATGCTCTCCTCCATAGTCAACAACTTCTGCAGTAAGCAATTTTTTATCACGCTTGCTGCCCGCACTGGACCTGGTGGTCTCCTCAGCATCATAATTTTTCTTATCCTCATGGCCATTGACAGCATCCACAGCATCGTCGCCATCGACGACGACAACATTCACATCCTCCAAGCCAGCTTCGCCATTCGTATCGGCCATATCTACATCGTTCATATCCAAATCGATACTTTCCTTGACAATTGGTGGATGTCTGCCCAACAATGGAAACAATGTATCCCCCTTAAGCCTTTGTCTATGGGAGTCCATGGTATCACGTTTTGGGTGTTCAGCACCACCATCGAATTTTCTTCGATTATCGGCCATGGTGTTTTTGTAGAAATTTCTCATTTTTAAGACCCCCTCTGAGGAGGGTTTCAATGTGCTGGCATACCAACTGGCCTTGGTGGTGCTAATGCCTCTAAGACCCAATGCTGGACGTTTGGTGCTGGAAATCAAGTCGATTCCAAACAGATCAAAGTTTTCATAACTATTCTGATTTTTCAGTTTGGAATCCAGGGCATGAGTGCTGGAATTTCTGCCAGCTGCATTGAGCCTTCCTTTATCTTCTCCTCCTTCCAAATTTCCATCTGCCAGCAAGTGAAACTTTTTCGAAAATTTTTCCAACACTGGCCTATGCTGCTGGTGTTTGGATGAGGATGATAAATCAGTTTCACTTTTGAAGTTTTTCCCCACCTCCATGCGGTCTGTCATCATTTCATCCACGCCAACATCTTCCAGTTCTTTGGCCTCATAAATTGTACGCAATGTACGCTTTGGGGTCTGCTCTTTGTCTGTGGCATGTCTTGGCTGTTTTATGTAGCCTCCCATCTCCTTCTCCTTCCCTCTCTCGCCCCTCAATCTCTTCATGGACAGTGACAATGTTGCCGATGTCAGGTCCAAGAGATGGCCATTTGAATTGGCCATGGCTGGTGATTTTGCTGACTCTGCCACGGCCGGCGATAAGGATTTACTTTTTCCTTTTGCTTTGATTTTTGAACCTGTCGCCAAAGAGGAGGACGCGGCCAAGGGGGAGGTGGAGGAGGGTGAAGCAGAGGCTGATGCTTGTATTATATCCATGCCAATGTAGAATAAAATTAGCATAATTGTTGCTAATCTTCTCAGCTTAATTGCAAGCATTTTTTCAACAAAGTTCTTTTTTCACTTTTTGCTTTCCTTAGCCAAGACAAAGCAACCAACCAACAAACACAAGAGGGCGGAGCTATAAATTACGGGTGTTGCAATAAACTGATAACTCTGCTGGCAAGACAAATGTCCGTTATCTTGTTATAATTTTGTCTAACTTGTCAGTTTTCTTTTGAGTTGTTCTCTTTGAGCTCTAAAATTTAGCGGGATTTTAATTTGTTTTCTTCATTTCTTTGTCTGATGGCTCTTGGCAGGACTATCTTTTGATTTTCAAACGATTTTTATGATTTATAAATAATATTTTTAAAAAATTCGTTGCATTTATGGTGTTGTTGCTGTTGCTGATGTTGTTGTTGTTGTTTTTGCTTTCCCTGCTGCTTGTGTTGGCATTCATTATGAACATTGCTCAACATTGGGCGAGTTGTACATTTTTGCAAGCGAAACAAGTGAGTGTGTGTATGTGTGTTTTTTTTTCGTGATTGTTTATCTGCAGCTCGTTGTACGATTTTAAGCTGTTAAGAAAAAAGAAAAATATATTAATTTGGAAAATTAAAAATTTTGAAATGGAAAAACTGTTTTAGACAGTTTTTCTACTTTACAGATTGCGAGTATATATATTAATAATCTGCAAGATTCTACTTAATTTGGGGTCTGCAGAAATAAACCACAAAAAAAAAAACAAAATTATTAAATTTTCAAACAGTTCCTGCCTTAAAAACTCCGATTTTCCTATGAACTTCGTGATTAAGAAAAATGAACACCAAAATTTTAATATCTTTGGAAAGAACCCGAAATTCTCATTTCGACGAAAAACATAATTTGGAACAATTGCATTCAGCAAATGTTAGGCATTTTTAAAAAGAATATTTTTAAAAAACTTCCATGTTAAAAATATTTATAAAGTATTCAGATCCCAAATTTATAATTTTTCTAATAACAAGTAAAAACAGTAGGTTCGGCCGGGACAAACTTTGAATACCCTCCACCTCAGGCTAAAGGAAACATTAGAAGAAATGTGGCAAAAACCATTAGAATGCCGAATATCGGGAGGTACCGTTATATGGGGGCTATATCAAATCGTGGACCTACACATGCAATGTTTCGCCAAAGGAGTTAGGACCCATTATGACCTACAAATACCAATTTTCAGACAAATCCGTGAAAAAATGTGGCAAAAATCATCAAATTACCGAATATCGGGAGGTACCATTATATGGGGGCTATACCAAAACATGAACCAATGACTCGCCACATGAACTGGGACCCATTATGATCTACAACTACCAATTTTCTGAGAAATTCTTGAAAAAATGTGTATAAAATCATCAAAATACCGAATATTGGGAGGTACCGTTATATGGCGACTCTATCAAAACTTGGACCTATACATACCCATTATCCCACACATACCAATTTTCAGACAAATCAGTGAAAAAATGTTGCAAAAACCATCAAAATACCGAATATCGGAAGGTACCGTTATGTGGGGGCTATACCGAATCATAGACCCATACATGCAATGTTTCGCCACCGGAGCTGGAACCCATTATGACCGACAAATGCCAATTTTCAGACAAATAGGGGAAAAAGTGACATAAATCATCAAACTACCGAATATAGGGAGGTACCGTTATATGGGGCTATACCAGAACATGGGCCTATACATGCAATGTTTTGCCACACGCACAGGGACCCGTTATGACCCACAAATACCAATTTTTAGACAAATCAGTGAAAAAATGTGGCAAAAACCATCAAAATACCGAATATCGGGAGGTACCGTTATATGGCGACTCTATCAAAACTTGGACTTATACATACAATGTTTCGCCACACGAACTAGGACCCATTATGACCCACAAATACCAATTTTTAGAGAAATTCTTTGAAAAAATGTGTAAAAAATCATCAAATTACCGAATATCGGGAGGTACCGTTATATGGCGACTCCATCAAACTTGGACCTATACATAAAATGTTTCGCCACACGAACTAGGACCCATTATGACCCACAAATACCAATTTTCAGACAAATCCGTGAAAAAATGTGGCAAAAACCATCAAAATACCGAATATTGGAAGGTACTGTTATATGGGGGCTATACCAAATCATGGGCCCATACATGCAATGTTTCGCCACCGGAGCTGGAACCCATTATGACCGACAAATGCCAATTTTTAGACAAATCCGTGAAAAAATGTGACATACATCATCAAAATACCGAATATCGGGAGGTACCTTTATATGGGGACTATATCAGAACGTGGGCCTATAATTAAAACACGAACTGGGACCCATTATGATCTACAACTACCAATTTTCTGAGAAATTCTTGAAAAAATGTGTAAACAAATATCAAAATACCGAATATTGGGAGGTACCGTTATATGGCGACTCTATCAAACTTGGACCTAAACATAAAATGTTTCGCCACACGAACTAGGACCCATTATGACCCACAAATACCAATTTTCAGACAAATCCGTGAAAAAATGTGGCAAAAACCACCAAAATACCGAATATTGGGAGGTACTGTTATATGGGGACTATACCAGAACGTGGACCGATATATCTCATTTTCGATACCAACCATCCTAGACACAATACAAATTGATCTGCTAAATTTTGGCGCTCTGCGTCAAATAATGTTGGCTGTATCGTGATTTCAACAGACAGACAGACGGACATCGTTAAACCGACTTAGAATTTTACGCTGATTATGAATATACATACTTTATGGGGTCTACGACGAATATGTAAGGATGTTACAAACGGAATGACAAAGCTAATATACCCTCCTTTCCAAGGTGGAGGGTATAAAAATATGGATTTATAAAATATCGTGTCCCAGACAATTCTGCTTACATAATCATGTTTACTAAGAAATCAAATGCTATTTGCCTATCATATTGCTATTTTTAACATTTCAAAATTATATATTCAATATAGAGATTAGAAATAATACACTGAGATTATGTCATAAGACATGCATACCCACACACCCACAGACACGTGAATTTATGCCATTTCTGGCAAAATATTCTATTCAATAGAAATGAATTGAATTGATATGCATTTGAAATTCTAATCCAAAAATAATGCTAATAAAGAGGTCTCTCAATTTAAAATTCAATTAACACATATTTGTCGGAAATGCAAACAATCTGAAACGTAAATCACGATAATCGCTTTCGAAACAATCAGAATCGTGGGCTCTTCTTGCTCTAATTGAATTATGCATACGATTTTGTGAAAAATGAAAGCCTAATCGCCATAGTCCTTTCATCCATTTGTATTTGTAACTAGGGGTGGGGGGGGGGGGTGGGTTGATGAATGTGAGTGTGCCTGCGAGCGTGTGTAAGTTTAATTGTTTATAGAAAATTTAGCCACTGTGTTGACATATTAAATTATTTTAATATGTCATAATTGCTTTCGAAATGAATTTGTTTTTTTTTTTATTCCGGGAGCCAACAACAATCGACGAGAACAATAAACAGCAAATATTATTCAAATTGCCATTAAAATTTAATCGAGTGTGTGTGAGTTCATAAAGCGAAGCTATCAAATATGCGCACAAACATATTTTAATCATGAACAAATTTTGCATAATTCAAGTGACTCGAGTCGCATTTAGGGTGAGAGTATATCAAACGTGAACACTCTCGTTTGTCTGATGTTACTTCATTTGCCCGCGAGGCCAACCTCAACAACAATATAACCGCCCACGTTCACTGGATGTCAGTTTAGGTTGAAAAAAAGGAAACCGGAAATAAACAAATGCAAAAAGGATGTTATATTTTTTTTTAGAATTATTATGGATATGATGATGCTCCGCACATCATTATTATCCTAAATGAATAAATGAAGAAGGCAGTAAAATGGGTGTCAGTATGTAAGGATGTCATTCAACACCTGCATTTTAAGATTATGTAAGATTAAGCGATATTTGGTTCCGGTACGTGCCGAATTTAAGCAGGGTAAAGGATCCTTTATAACCTTAATAAGATGTTGTCATCAATTTGAGTTATTACAATAGAGTGATAAGAATAAGTTATTGATATAAAACCACTCCACCCTTGGAGCGTATGATTGTTGTCCAACAATCAGAAATTATAACTCATACGCCATATAATCAGTTTCTGTTTTTTGTACCCCACACTACAATGTGATCAGGGTATTATGTATTTATTTGTAACAGGCAAAACGAAACGAGATAGACCCGTAGTTCCTTTTGATGATCTGCATAGAATCACATTCTGAGTTGATTTATGCATGTCCGTCCGTTCGTCCGTCTGTCCGTCTGTCCATTTATTTTTGTAAACAAAGTACAGTTCGCATTTATTGCCCTATCCAGATGAAATTTTGTTTAAATCATTTGTTTGGCTCCAGGACGAACCCTATTGAAATTGGAAATAATCGGTCAAAATTTAGATATAGCTCACATATATTTCATCGTCCGATTTGCCTTTTATTGTGCACCAAACGTGTAATATCAGTCCGAATACCATGGAATTTTGCACATACGATCAGATTGGACCTGAATATGCCAAATTTGATCGAAATCGGTTTTTCGGAGTTTTGTCCTCCGCAGCCGTAACAACAATATTTGAAGAAATATATCAAATACAGCTCAGAAATACATTTGCCAAATTTTATCGAGATCGGTTCAGATTTGGATATAGCTTCCATATATAACTTCGTCCGATTTACCTTTAATTGTGCACCAAACGTCTAATATTTGTCCAAATGGGTTGGAATTTGGCACTAACGACCGAATTGAGTCTAGAAGCTAGTATGTCAAATTTGGTGAAGATCGGTTCAGATATAGCTATGGCTCCCATATATACTGTTCATTCGATTTGTTATATTTGTTACCCACAGCCGTAATATGCACTCCGAACGAACGATATTCAGGGAAATATATGAAATACAGCTCGGAAATATTTTTGGCAAATTTTATAGAAGATCGGTCTCGATTTGAATATAGCTCCCATATATATTTTTATCCGATTTCAAATAAATTTTGCACCAAATGGGAAATACAATTCCGAATTTAAAAAATACAAATGCTTCGGCATATTTAGTGTTTTGAACTTTAAATTATATTTATAATCATAGCGTGTATGATTGAATTCTCCCATAAAAACTTTTAATTGTTATGCGCAGCTCTACTAAATTAGCAAAGTGGTGTAGGGTATCATAAAGTCATCCCCGCCCGACTTTAAGACTTTTTTACTGTTTTTTTTTTTTTTTTGGTTTTTTTTATAACCTCCACAATACTATGGAGGGTATATTAACTTTGTCATTCCGTTTGTAACTCCTCGAAATACTCATGTCAGACCCAACAAGGAATATATATTCTTCATCGGCTTGAATTTCTACGTCGATTTAACAATGTCCGTCTGTCTGTGATTACAACTATCTTTCGAACGAATTGAGATAGAAGGCAAAATTTTGCACACATGTTTATTTTTCCAGTAGGCAGGTTAGCCCTCATATAACGGTAACTCC